GTTGTCATGGGTTCAGCTCGAGAGAGTGAATCCTAAATTATTTTCCACACATTCAGCTCTAGAGAGTGAATGGACTAAGGCATATGTTGTTCTTATTTTGCATGCTTGTCGATGTTCGAGAGAAATTGACTTGATTCGGGGTAAATTGTTCGAGAGAAATTTTACCTCCTCTATTAGTCTAGCATAGTCACTAATATTCAGCTATTTTCTAACAGTTGCAATTACCCATTTGTCTACATTAGCCTATAATAAAATCACATCCCAAGTACCTGTCTCATTATTGTTATTCTGTATTATTTGTTGCTGTTGTAGTTGATAATTAAAACTAAAACCCCCTGTTATTTGACATTCGTGTCAATCCCTAATTTGAATTATGTTTTTATTCTTAAATGTCTATTCCTATGATTGACTTAAGCACGTACCACTACCTGTGGGATTCGACCCCAACTCATTTAGTTGGGTTATTATACTGACTAACGATCGTTGACGCTTAGGACTTGATTAAGTGTCCTTGAAACGTTAGTCAAAATGGTGCCGCTGCCGAGGAGTGGTGTTGGCTAAGATTCTTTGGTTAAGTTGCATTTTGTTCTTGTTAGTCATAGTTGAATCTACTTGTTTTTAGTTTTGGTTTTAGTGTTGCTTGTTGAGCAGAGAAATTACGCATATATGTTAGCAACAGTGACCCAATGGATCACCATCCTTTGAGATTGATGATTCTTAGGGATGGCATCCTAACTTTCAAGCTATTGGAGGGTGAGACCATTTATGAGTTGTGGCAAAGATTTAAGGCCCTATTGCAACATTGCCCAACTCATGGAATTATAGATAAGATGCTTCTGGAATGCTTCTACAGGGGTCTTGGTCCCTAAAATAGAATAGTGGCTGACCAACTCTCTTCGGGTTGTTTGATACGACAATCCTATGAAACAGCAACCCAACTCCTTGATTGTGTGGCCAAGACCAACAAGGAGACAGAGAAGGACCAAGACTTGGCCACATTGTTGGGTCAGCTGGATCTCTTGGCCAAAAAGGTCAAGGAACTGGAAGTAATATACCAAAGAAAAGATAGGTACATTCCCCCTCACGAGCGTCGAAGGACAAAAGAGCACGAGGGTGGGCAAATAGAAGAGGTGCTCTTACTCATTAATCAAAAAGTTGAAGAACACGACAGAATGTCGAGAGAGATAAGGGAGAATGTCTCAATGCTAAATCAGATGACAACCTCTCACTCCATGTTCATTTAGCTACTGCAGTCCCAAATGAGTCAAGTTTTGTCTTGTCTCTACCCATGTCAAGAAAGAGGGTTGCCTAGTGACACTAAGGCAAACCCGAAGAATGAAATTTAAGTGGGGACTTGCATCGTGCCACGACGTTAACTAAGGCGCTTCTTGGGAGGCAACCCAAGTGTTTATTTGCTTTATTTTCTTTTTAGAAATAATCGTATGTTGATTTTGCAGGTTGAAGTGTAGAATGTGTTTGAAAAGTACAGGTTAGCGAGCCAAAAGTCCAGTCGGTGACTCACTGAAGAGGTCGGCTAGCCCGACTTGGACTGCCGTTGGACTCATGGAATTTGGAGGTTGGAGTTTGTAAATCTCGGCGATCCCAGGAGCAAATTAGCGAATCGCCAAACAGGCCGGCGGTCATGACTTTGTCCGCCATTTGGACCCTACATCTACTGGAGGTCCTGTAAAACTCGGTGAGGTAAGTGCCCACTTAGCGTGTCGCCGAGTGGTTCAGTGAACAAAACTTATGTCGCTGAATGGGCGAGAACTGGACGGTTTTAAAGGCCAAAAGTTCAAAATCTTTCACATTCCCTCACTTTTCAACCTCCCAAACTCACACCCGTACTATATTTTCCTATATTCTTGTGTTTTTATCATGTATTAGTCATTGATTGTGTGTTCGGAGTTGGATTCTTTGCCGCCTAGCTTTACAACTTATATATTCGGCATAAGCATGATTTTCTGAACCTCGAACTTATATTTAGCAATTTTTACTCATTTGCAACTGTTCTTATCTTATTGATGTGTGCTGGGCCTCTTTGATCGTAATCGTATGCTTGACCGCCTATTTTAATTTGAATATTGTGCCTTTAATGCATTTATTGTTTATTTCCCAAATATTTTGTTCCTTAAAATTGATTAAAATTGTTGGGTTGTTCTTAAAAGATGTTGGGTCTAGTCGGGTGAAGTATAAGTAACCCGCTTTTGTGCCAAATGATGTGCTTTACGCAATGATAGAGCGGTTGACATCATTCATAATAACAAAAGTCGTCAAATGGCCAAATTTGGCCAAACCGGGAGAAGTCTGTGTATCCCGAGGGCATGGGTAGTATGGGTCTTTGTTTAATTAAATGAGTGCATGGTTTGATTTTGTTTTCGAGGGCTGTCGGGTTGAATTTGTAAGTCGGGGTAGAAAATAGGCACGTTGGGCCGTTTGACGAGCTGGGTTGAGCTCGCCGAACCACGCGACGATTTGCCGAATCCCCCTATATCGCCTTTAATTTCATGCTATAATGGAGTTCGGGGTCTGTAACTTTCGGCTAGAAGCCTAAGATCACCGAGTGCACTCGGTTACTCGCTGATTGTCTTCTTGATCTCCCTTTCTGCGCCCTTAACCCTTAAAAATTCACTGTAACTTTTGGCGGGCTAGTCCTTGCTCTCCGAATGTTGTTGGTGATTCGCTGAAAGGCCCTTCTCATCGCTGACATGCCAATTTTTCTGGAAATTTTTGAAGTCAATTCTTTCGGCGAGCTCGATCTGGCTCGCCAAAGTGATTCGGCGACTCACCGACTGGTTCGGCAAGTCTGTCTGCAACTATTTTGCTGCAAATTTTCTTGAACTGTTCTTGACTCTCTACTTTGTGTTTGCAGATATGGCTAGACCAAAAGTGGCTGGTAGAGATATGTCACCCCGCAAGAGGGCTAAGGGAATAAAGATCAACGAGGATGCAACTGCATCCAATGCTAATGCCACCAAACTTCCCACTACAGGTAGGAAAGGAAAAGGAAAGGGAAAGGCATATGTACCTACATCACCGGAAGCCAGCTCTGATAGTGACGACTTCTATGCCCCTCACCTCACCACTTCTGAGAGTAAGGGTGAGCACCAGGAGCATCAGGCTGTAACTTTTGAGCCTGAAGATGAGGTACTAGCAGCCCAGAGAGCATAATTGCTTTCCAAGTGGCTGAATGATCCGTTTAGGATCAGGACACCCCAGACCACTACTTCTCTTCCCGCTCCAGCATAAGTCATGGTCCTAGCACCATCGGTATAGGGTCCTTCTCCCCGGTCTATGAACAGACTAAAGACTGAGGGATTGAGGACAATCATTGAAGATAATAGGCTCTCTATTGATGGGATGATAGACAGATACCCCAACATTTGGCGCACCATAAATGCCCATAAGTTTGAGATTTTCACAAAACCTCGGGGTACCTATATTCCAAATTGGGTTTGGGAATTCTATACCGCCTACGGAGCCCTAGTGCCGCAAAGGAAGTTGTTGGCTGCTAAATTCAAGCCAGTTGATTATATGGTTGTCAGGGGCAAGAAAGTATTGTGTGACAGTACTAACATAAATGTGGTATTAAAGTGCACCGACAACATTGCACACACCCACCAGTACAAGATCAAGACTAAGTCCTTGGAGAACATGAAAAGCTAGCTATCCCCTCTCATAAGTGATGGTACTCCGAGGTGGTTGGAGACAAGGGCTCCGATAGAAAAGAAGGACCTAAATGTAGCTGCGAGGTACTGGTTTGGCTTTATCAGCAGCACTATCATGCCATCCCAAAATGAGTCCATCCTACGCCACACAAAGGTAAATTGTCTTGGCTCGATCATTGCACGATAGCGCTTAATTTGGGTATGATCATTGAGCAGGAGATGGCCATGAGGGTCAAACACTGCCAGACTTCCCTTCCCTTTCTGGTGCTAATCACTGAGATGTACAGACGGGCTCAGGTACCTAGAGATAAGAAGAAATATTTGGAAGTGATTACCACATCTTCTACCGACATCCAGAGAATTGAGGCGGAGTACTTGAAAGATGAGGCGGAGAAGAAGAAGGCTGCCCCGATGGACACTTCCTTGGTTGTGGATACAAATGCACTACCTACAGAGGCACCTTTGCCTACTCCGGCCCCTGGGCCTTCAGGTACATCCAATGCTGCTCCTTCTGTTACTCCCAGTTCCTTTACTGCTTCTGTGCCTCCCAGATCTGGTACTGTTGCTGCCAGCCGACCTCCACTCACCCCGGCTTTATTGCTACGGATGGGGCAACTAGCCCATTCTGCGGATTGACGCGCCGCCAGACTTGAGACATCCATTCTGGGCATGATTCAAACAGCCCGTGCTGATGTTGTGGCACCCTTGAGTTCTACTATTAACGCCCTTGCGGTGAGGATAGCGGTGTACGAGCATGGCCAAGGGGCCACTAAGGAGGTGACGACCCTAAAAGCCGTTATTGCTGAGCTGAGGAGAGATGTGGACTAGCTGAAGTTCATCGACATGTCTATGATTTTTAGGACAGTGGAGATCCCAGATGTGCTAGTCGAGATATATATGATCTTAGCTACCATCGAAGATGATGTTCGAGTTGAGGAGGTAGCTGATCCCGAGTTTGAGATAGAGACAGATGATGAGATGCTTGAGGTTGTTGAGGAGATTTCTTATGAGGGCCTTATGGAGACTGAGCAGGCCATGGTAGATGTAGTTATGCAGACATCTTTGGCAAACACACCTTTGACAACCCCGAGTGGAGTTGGTATTGTTACTGATATGACTCCGGGCACTAATGCCCAAGATTAGAGTGTTGCACCGGGCACTGATTCCCCGACAAATGGAGAGACTGTGTAGAACAAGTCTTTTCCTTACCTCCTTCTCTCTCACTTTTATTGATTTTTGGATATTTTCTTGCATTTGAGGACAAATTGCTTTTTGATTTGTGGTGGGGTGAGGTATTTCCATACCTACCCCTTGTGATTATTGTTTTTATCTCTATATGTTGGGTTTTGTGCTATAAATTGTGTTTTGGCACTGTTTTTGTGGATGCTTGAGCTTGTGGCTCCTTATTTTAATTGTAAATGGTTTTTGACCCTTTTTGAAAATTTTGTGCCACCTCTTGATTGTGTTTGAATGTGGCTGTCCTTTTGCAAATTTTGAGTATCGGTCTTGATCAATATCGATGACTTGAATAGTGCTCATAATCAAACAAAAATGAATGTGTGGCTACGATGAGGCCAAATGAAGTTGCATAGCTAATATGTTATTTGTGCCAACTACGGTAGTTCCAGTCTTCTTGATCATGTTAGCCTGAGAAAAAAGATTAAATTGATTATTTTGATACATTATGAAATACAAAACTTACATAAGTGTGCCAATTTTTCCGGAAGGAAAATAAAAAAAGCCAACAAGAGAATCAACAAATTAATTGAAACAAGCTCACTATTTAAGAGAAACAGGACAGATGTGAAGCAGGGTAGCAATGTGCAACAGGTGCAAACCCATAATCAGTATAATAATGCCAAAAATGAGGTAATCCCAGAGCTTGCACCTTATACTGTGATACAATTTTTTGCGACTAAATTGAGGCATAATGAGGATTCAAAGATGGACTCAAGGCAGAAAAAAGGAACAAAAATAAGGGTGATGAAGTAAGAACTGAACAGCAGACTCCAAAACACTTTTTTTCGGCATTAGGATTTCTTCTACGTGAATACCTTTCGACAACTTAAACTGCCCATATCCCCTCTTTTGAGCAACTAGAGTGTTGTTTCAATGGATATGAACGCCAGTTCAGATCGGAATGCGACAGCCAAACATGTACTGCTAATGGAGATTGGGTCCGATGGTATTGCTAGAGAATCACCGATCATTGCTTACACCGAGAAGATAATTGAGGCAGAGCAGATTCAATTAAGAAAATATATAGATGAAAATTACTCCAAGATTCGTGATGTTGAGAAGGAATTGGCAAACCTGTCAATGGAGATGAAACTTACAGCTGGGCCTAAGAAAGCAGCACTTGAACACATGAGAAAGAAAATAGAAATGTCAACAGAGAAATCCGTATAGCTAAGCAGAAGAAAGAACAAGCACGAAAGGCAGCATTAAAAGTTGTTAAGGATGAGGAGGATTTCAAGCAAAAGCTTTGTGAGGACTTGAATAATCTGGTTCGTGAAAGTAGCAACACTCAGCTAGCTAGATTGGAGGAACTGAAAAGGAAGCTGGAAGCTTTAAATCTGAGCAGAGCATCCACATCCTCTGCCTTGAGGAAAAAGATTGGAGGCCATGTTCGTGACTGAATGAGTCTAGTCGAGCTTTGCCGATTGGATTAGTCTAAGAGCTACATTGTGATTTGAAGTTCAGTTTGTTTAAGGACTAAACTGGTTGAATCAAGTGGTACTGAAGGCCTTCCTTGTGAATATGGTTCCCGAGATGAATAAGATAACCTTTTAGATGTTACTCTTGTTCGTAGCTCATTATCTGCAGATACAGTTATACTTGAAAAAATCATGTTACCATACATCAAACTAGCTGCTCAGCTTGTGCCAGTAGAGGATGTATTATGTGAAGGTGTCAAATAATAGTGCTAGTTAAGACTCTATAATATGCAGTTAGTAGATGATAAGTAAGATATGCTTTCGGTCAAGGCACAACAAATTTCTTCTCCTTGTTTTCTGTTGATTTTGAGCTATCAATTCCTTTTCTTTTTTAGGTAAATGAGGTACTATAATATTACAGTATAGTGTTGTTTTTGTTTAAGAATATCAATGCATGACTAGGCTCTGTTGCTACCCAAAAAATAAAAAAACAACAGAATATGCAGTCGAGTGACTAGAAAAATAATACAACATCACAGATAGACTTCAGGCAGCATCATTACAAAGCAGAAGAGCCAAATCAGCAGGAAGAACAATGGAAAACTAAAAAAAAAAAGAATAACAAAAACAATATAAACAATGAGAAGAGACCTAAGACACCTCAAGAACAGATTATGTTCTAAAATTTTGGTACCCTTATTCCATATTATTTTATCCACAATCCAGATATTTCAGCATGAATTAAAAAAATCTTCTTTTTTTATAAGGTACAGCATGAATTAAGACACTCAGAATAAGAAGTTAATTTTTCCCAAAGCAGAGACTTGCCAATAGTTAAGGAATAAGATGGAGTAGCATGAGAATGCCAGCTTGCTAATCATAAGGAACTGATAAAGCACGTGAAAGAAAATAACTTTAGGCAGATGGTGTTTCCATAGAGACTCTGCACTACTCCCTATTATACCTTCAAAGCAAAAGGATTAGAATTCACTGAGGAGAAGCTTGTGGCACACTTTCTAATCAGGAACCAAGGAAAAAAATAATCAATTGGGTTCAAGGGAAACAGGGGATGTTATCTCATGGTTGTATTTCAAGCATTGTTGCTGGAAATTTCGTGAATGGGGCCAACATTTTAGGCATGGCTAATGGCACAACATCTGGTATGGCACCGCTAGCAGACATTGCTATGTATAAAGTCTGCTCAAGTATTGGTTATCCTGAGACCGTTATATTGGCTGTAATAGATACTGCAATCGAAGATGGGGTTGATGTACTATATATTTCCTTTGGCACAAAGTCTAACCAATTTTGGACGTCAGACGTTATTGCTTAAGGTGTATTACTGCTACACAAAAGGGGATTCTTGTTAGCTGTTCAGCTGGCAATACAGGTCCACTACCAGGCACTGTAAATAATTGAGATCCATGGCTTTTCACCGTTGGTGCAAGAACTACTGATAGAAAACTAAGAGCCATAGTATGTCTTGGTGATGAAAAAGAAATTGATGGGGTATCAGAATTCCAGCCCAAAGACTTCTCCAAGACACTGTTACCACTGATTAGAAATGTCAATGATGCATTTTGCAGCGCGGAGGCACTGGAGAATATGAATGTCAAAGGAAAATTTGTACTGTGTATATTTGATGGTAATGTTACTAGAATTGATAAGGGACATCATGTGAAGGATGCTAGTGGTGCTGGAATGATACTCATGAACGATGAATTGCAAGGGTTCAATATCTCTGCCTAACCACAGGTTGTTCCAGCAGCACATGAGGTGATCCAGGCTTAATCTATGACATCAAACCCGAGGATTATGTTCATTATTTATGTGGTTTAAAATACCCAAACAAAGCAGCTTATATGTTTGTATTGAGAAAAGTGAATTGCTCATCAATAATGCCTGAAGCAGAACTAAATTATCTTCTTTTTCAATTGGACTTGGATTAGAAGCTGAAACATATACGAGGACAATGACTAATGTTTGTGAAGGTGTCTCGTCCTATGTTGTAGAGATTATTTTACCATAATCCAATAGATTCAAGAGATAACAGCAAGCTAATAATTAGTATCAAAGAAGAACCAAAGCTATTGCAACAACACAATTAATATTATATGACGAACTGACTATCATTTGAAGGGCAACCAAGTTCGTACGTCCTCGATCGATTGAACCAATGATAAAGAAAAACAATAGCTACACCACGACTTGACTTCATGCGTAGCGTCAAAGAATCAAAAAGAGAGTAGGCAAAGGACAACAAAAGTCAATCAAAGAATAGTAATAGACCCTAAGTAAAGCTCTATGTAAAGCACATGCAACCATCAGGCATCTGCAACTTCGATTTGTAATTGGTTCACAATTTTTGGACATTCAGACAAGGTATTTTGCATCAGAAATGCTTTAGCAACAACTAATAACTGCTTCTTGAATATAACAATTGAAGTAGCCCAGAGGCAAAGTACTTCACCAAATTGGTACTCTTTAAGGATAAAGCCAACTTTGGTTAGCACATTCTCAGCAATTGTTGGTTACGTCTGCTAACATAAATTAGACTCATATTTAAGTATCTAGAGTTAAGCACAAGAATATTAAACAAACTTAACTGAAGCTGCACAAGCAATTCCCGAAAAAGTCACAGTCATACATGTAAAAATATTATTACACATAGCTCTTATATTGATCTTGTTGAACCAGATCTGCCAAACAGTCCAGGTACAGGAAAAAATCATAATGAAGACAAGGCAGCGGCTGGGAAAACACAGGCAAACAAGTGAAATCCTTGAAAAAGTCTACATCTCTATCCCTAGACCAGGAAGAAAGTGAAATCTTCAATCTCCTTTACTTGGTTGTGGTCCTATATAAGGAAGGAAGTGGACTTCTCTACCTGGTTTAGACTTTGTACTTATTTTTATGCTCTATTAGTAGTTTAGTATTCTAAACTATTTGCACCAGTTATTCTATCTTTATTCGTGTGGTGATCTGTTGATTCTGTCATTTTGATTTTTTGGTATTTATAAAATTGAGGAAATGACCTGTGTTCTAGAAGTGCTACTCTAATGATTTGGATATATTGAGGTTGTATAATATCATAGTTTCTTTTCCATTTTGAGTCGTGCCTACAATTTTAATATCAAATACATTTCTAGTGTCTCCTTGATAAATTAGCATCTCTTACATCTTTGCCTATGAATTCCAATGTCCTGATGTATTTTTCCTTCCTTTATCCTTACCGTGTTAGTGTTGTCCAGCTGCCTGTATGACGTGGGAGTTGGCAGAGTCAGGAAAGCACTTCATCACTACAATAATAAATGGTTCTAATCTGGTGCCTACATTTTAAACTGATTCTGTGTTACCAACCCCTATATCCCAAAATCCTCCCTCTATGCCTAATGTACTTGCAGGCATGGACAAAGAAGGAAATACAAAGGCCTCTAAGATCACATGTATTGAATCAATGCTCCCATTACCCCTCACCCCTTTAGATAATTGTTTAATTGTTGTGGAAGCTGTTGGAGTGTTGGATGGAGGGTTGAAGGAGAATATTACTAACTTGCAGGAAGGGGTATCCAAAGGGGGGTTTCTGCATCATGATATATATGAGAATTTACACACTGACCCTAAGAAAGACCCTAGAGATTCTGCTACCACTTCTCATCAGACCACACAAGAGAACTAGCATAATCAGCTCATCCATCAGGGAAACGTTTCCGGTCAGGGACACAGTAAACAGAATGATCAACAAGGTAATCTTAATACTTCTCATAACACTCAGAAAAAGAATCAGAAAAAAGAATGTTCATTAGAGAGAATATGAACAAAACATACAAGACAGTGGGGGCACAAAGTAAGGGCAAACTATCAACAACAAATCTCAGGGCAAACTAACCGAAAAGAAGAGAGATGCCATCAAAAGAAGGCAACAACATGCAGCAGGGACAAAATAGAAAAAAGGGCAAGAGGTACAGGTTCAAGTTGGTCAAAATGAATATAGCAACACCATAAATACAAATTATGAAATGATACATTTTGAGGATGAGTATGATCAGGACACATAGTCTTTGGTGCAAGTTTTTCAATTTTAGAGGCTTAATGCATGAAAGAGTTGACTTTTGTCAACATCCGAAGATTCTGATGTCGGATCAAAATTTTGTCAGTTCCATCAGCTACGGTTGGGTCCTTTTGGTTTAGTATGATGTTTGGTTTGGGTTTCGAGGCTTCTGTTTGGAGTGTGTACGATTAGGCGATTTAGCTTTTGTGGTGAAAACTAGAAATAATATGATAAATTAACATAGTTTATAATTTCACTATACCAACTAAAAAACAACAACAACAAGAAGAACCAAAAGAAAAAGATGATCACTTAGACTGTTTATGTGTACATGACACACAATTAACAGTTTGTCGATTAATTCATATTAAACAAGAAAGAGGAATTAGTTGATCTCACGATCATATAAATGTTAGGATTTACGCAATTAAAATAAAATTCAAAATTTTAATAAAATTTTCTATAACCTTTCTTGTGTGAACAGCTGGAACAAGTGATGATGGTTGTTGACAATCTTTAAGTGGGTTATCAGGAACCTATTGCAAAAGAGGAAGACTATTATAATTAAGAGAAACTAAGTTTTCATCTAAAAAAGTAATTTTTTTAGCAACACAATTATTTCACCTGCTCTGATTTTAAATTTGCATCAATATTAATTCCCAAAGACTCTACATATGCTTGTATTCCTTCCTTCACCTTATCCGCTATAATTTCTTCCATATCCATTTTTGCTTCCGATAATTTTCTCTCCATCACTTCATTATTCTCTTTTGCTTCCTCTTTCGCTTCTAACAACTTTTTATCCATCGCTTCCATCTCTTTTTTTGCTTCATACATCTTCTCTATCATCTCAATTTTCATAGCTAAGGTAACTTTTTGAACTTCCATCTCAACCCTTGTATCAAAATCTCTTTTTTTAGCTTGAGATCGTTTATATACGAGGCCATATACTAAGCTAGGAGATGCTCCTTTTCCTAGAGTTCGGACAATTCCATGAGTGTCTGATCCCATTACTTGGGAGTACACATCATTAGGAGCACTTCCAGGGACATTCAACTTAGGATACACCTCGGCAAGATCATCCATTTGTTTCTTTTTGAAAGAAAGGTAAAGTAGTGAGAAGTTTTTAAAAAAAATTGTAATATAAAGAAAGTACCTATATATTTTTAAAGAGTAAGAGTTTACCATAACTTCACCAGCTATCTCATTTACTGGTTGTTTATTCGCTCTAATGTTAGTTTTTTTGAACACCTCAATACGAGTTGGCTTTTACACCATTATTCATCTTTGTCATCTGTTTGAATAGTAAGAGATTGACATTAAATATTCACGATAAGTATTATTTAATATATAAATTATAGAAAATAAATAGTGATTACTTCGTACATCGTCTATAATTTGAGAATGACTTTTTCTCCCTGATGTGTGTGGCATAGTCAATTTTTTTCAACTTTCTTTGTTTCTCTCACTCTTTTCCTAGAAATTTGAACACAACAATATATAAGAGGACATGTGCAATCTTGAATATATAAAAGAAATAGCCAAGAAAAATTATAAAAAAGCAGCATAGTTGAGTTTCACAAAGTGCAATTAATTTCTATACAAGAACATTTTGTGCAGGTTGGCAAATTCGACATGTACAACAACATATTTCTGCCAATTAGAAGAAAGGGACAAATCAGAAAGAACTTCTAGTTGTTCTACAATAAGAAGTATAATCAGGGAAAACACGACTTTAATAATTTATGACAACTTCTATGAAATTCTCATTTAGTAGAGTAAATGAAGAAATAGAAATCTAGCACATACCTTTGCTTCTTTTGAGCTCCAATAATGAACTAATGAATGACACTGATCTTCTTCAACTCTATCTGGACAATGAGCTAAACGCTCAATATCAGTGTTATATGGGTCATATTCAATGGTTTTTGCTTCATGCTTTGATTCTTTCCATTTAGATCCAAATGACATCATCAGTATGCGCTTCATGTCATCAGTTGCGTCAGTATTTTCCTATACATATATTTAATACACAACTCATTTATAAAATAAAATATAAAAACAAAAACATCTTAGTATATAGGTTTTGTGTATACTAAGAACCTTGATATGAGCCCATATTCTATCCTTGTACATACTAGGTACAAGCCTCCAATCTTTATGATTCAGTGGTGCTAAGATGCCATTTCGTGCTAGCACACCAAGTTTTGAACTCAATCTAGTTCCTTCTGATCCAATAACTTGACCATGTTCATTCAATTCAATATGTAAATTTCCACCATTTTCCCCCCATCCCGAGTGCATCATAGTGGGACCCCTAGTTCACCTAGATTGCTCTTCGCTCTCATTAGAATCTATAAATAATCAAAGATAAAAAGAGGCAAATTTATTATTTATATAAAAATTATCTAACTACATTAAACTATGAAAGGAAGAATAAATATAATGAGATTTAATACCTGGAAGATTTTTTGTATCATGTGATTCATCTCTTTCATTTTGTGGCCAATTTTGGGGCGGTTGAGGCATTGACATACTTCCGATTTGTTGTTTTTGTTGCTCAGAATTTATAAATAATCAAAAGATAAAAAGATGCATATTTTTTATTTATATAAAAATTATCTAACTACTTTATACTATGAAAGGAAGAATAAATATCATGATATTTAATACCTGGAAGATTTTTTGTATCATGTGATTCATCTCTTTCATTTTGTGGCCAATTTTGGGGCAGTTGAGGCATTGCCATACTTTCAATTTGTTGTTTTTGTTGCTCCGAAGAATCATATAAAAGATCACCTTGACTAGAATTTCTGT